TTTTTTTAGTCTCTATTTAATTCTGTAACAAGTCTTGCACAGTATCTTCCCTACATAGCATCTTAAGGATTTACTGGGTTAATTTTTATACCTGTGATGAAGGCAGCAGGCAAGAAGTTAATTTGGATGAAGAGACTTGAAAGTAGGAAGCTACATGAACAGAATCATTGTAGGTAGAAGGACAGCATGTTAGTGTAAAATGGCTGGGAATGGTGGCGCATGCCTGAAATCCTAGCAGTCTGGAAGTCTGAGGCTGGGGTCACAAATCTAAGCCTTGCTTGGGTACCTGAAAAACTTAAACTCTGCCACAGAATAAAATATGATAAATGGAGGGCGGGACATGTAGCTCAGTGTGAAGGCCTTGGGTTTAATCCCCAGTATCCCCCCTAAAGGTCCCTGCATTAGAACATGAAAATAGGAATGGAAACCTGCAGTATTTTAGGAGTTTGGTCTCACATTTATGATTTTAACATGAGCAAGATACCTAGTACTTGAAGATTTGGAAGTGTGACATAGTTTTAAAGAGCAGGATCATAGTTATCTGATTTGTCCTAATTAGGTTTTAAAATACAAGGAAACACAATCGACAAATGTGGGAGCATGACTGAAATGCCTACTATGTCACGGGTTTTGCCAGTGAATGTGGTCATTATATTTATGTTTTCTGTCACTAGGTGGAGTCCATGAGCCCAGAGAGCTCGTGGATGAGCTTTTCTGCACTCCTCCTTCTTCTTTTTTTAAAAATAATTTTATTGAGAAATAAATAGCAATGAGACAGTTTCAAAACTGATTACTAGCACAGTTTCAATAATTAATACATTGCATACTGTTGTCTTAGTGGTTATTCATTGCACAAGATGCACACCTGATTAATATTCAAATGACAAAACTAAACAAACAAGGGGATACATGGGGCTGGGGAGATGGCTTGGTGGAATAAGCACTTCCTGGCAAGTGCAAGGGCCTGAGTTCAATCCCCAGTCCCGCAAAAAAATAGGGGGGGGGGATACAGATGAATGTCCATTTTGTATCTGTGTATTCTGTACTCCTGATAAGGCTGTTTTGTGTCTTTAAAAGTCAAAATAATATACTTCTTTTAAAATTGGAAAATGGTTTTGAATAGCAGAATGATTGGATTTGCATTTTTAAAAATCAGTGTATAAAATTTCAAAATAGTCTTTTCACATTCTTGCTCTCTAAATTCTTTTTTCAAAAGACCTTTAACACCACAGTTTAACACTACTGTAGTTCCAAATCCTTACGATTTAATCAGAATACTTTTAATTGGCAAATTTATTTTATTAGTAAGTGCCATTTTGAAAATTGGGTCAGTTCCTTGTGCTGCAGGGCCTCTGTGTTCAGAAGCTCTTGATTTCAAGCTGCTTAGGCTGCGAGCTCCCTTCAAATATCAGTAAGAGCAGTTGTTATGTTCTACCATGTCATTGCTTAGTGTAGCACGATGTAGACCTGAATTTCTAAAACTGATACGGAATGAGTTATTACAAGAGAAAGGCCGGGGTGAGTAATTTTTCCTTATCAAGTTTGCCAAATGGTAGGATGTCACGTACTAGTAATAGATAGCAGACGCTGGTGATTATTGCAGTCCCAGCTTCCTGTGCTTTCTATTTGAGCTTGGACTGGGCAGTGGGACGAGGGCAGATGAGTACATGAAGGCATCACAGAAAGAATCTGAGGAGCTTGCCAGGACCCAGGAGAGTGCAGTGACTTGCTCCGTTAGTCTGTGTACGAGGCGTTATGAGGGCCAGATCTGATCTAATTCTTTTTTGTGTGTCTTTTTGCCACAGCACGTGCCCTTACAGCCGGCCTCCCTTTGGCTATGGAAACTTTCCAAGTTCAATTCCAGAATGCCTGGGTTACTATGAAGACAGATACCAAAAACATGAGTCTATGTTCTCAGCTTTAAATAGAGACTATTCCTTTAAAAATTACTCAGAGGAGCGCACACACCATGAAGATTCTTGGAGCTGCGAGAACTTAGGTGGGACCTCTTGCTATAATCACAGCCACGGTGGGGAAGAATACCTGAATGCCATCCCTCATCTGGAGCTTGGAGCCTTGGAAAACGTGTTCACAGTCCCTACATCGACTCCCTCTAGCATCCAGCAAGTCAATGTTATTGACAGTGATGAGGAGGAAGAAGAAAAAGTGCTCAGGAATTTATAATTCTAAAACACAGATGCACAGAAAATAAACATTTCTTAAAATATATTCTGGGTCAGTTGGTGTGGCAAAAAAGTCTAGAATGCTTTGTTTTGAGTTTTCAGCTGTGATTTGAGGAGTCAAGACCAAATAATTCCCATCTTCATAAGGTTTTGATTAGTGGAACTGGAGTCCTGACCTGGTATTTCATCTTAGGAATATTTAAGATATGAAGTTCTTTATTTTTGATGGCTGAAATTTATGCCAACTCCTATCATCATTACCTTGTCTTGGAACATGCTGAATACAAAAGCCTCGCAGCTGTGTGTGAGGAGAAGGGGGCATAGCACACCCGGCGGGAAGGTGTGACGTGCGTTCTATCCCGAGATGCATGCATTTACTTATTTTTCTTGTATACTTTTTGGTTGGTGTTTATAGACTACTTATGGATATTGCCAGTGTTTTTGTAACATTTTGAAAATATTTTGATAACTTTTAGAAGTGAACTGGGACTTGGTTACTAAATTTAATTCACACTAATCATTAATTCTAAGTCACAGAGGTGCTCATGGCACATGGGTAATGCTTTCAGCTGTATTTAGTCATTACTCTTGTGAGACCATTTTATCATCAGATTTGAATATCTTTTGCCGTTTGGTATGCACTGTTATATTGTTGTTATAATTAAAGAAAGTTGTTCTTGTTGAATGTTTTCTGTTATGAGGATAGAAAAAGGCACAGTGGGGATTTTTCATGTAAGATGATTATTCATGACACACGCAGACATTTATTTTTCCTTATTACATCCAAAACTACAGAGACCCATCTGTTAGCTTGCATAGGACTTGCAATTTTGTCAACAAACAAGTGTGCATATTCTGATGCTATTTGTATACTGTATTACATGAGATTGAAGCACTCACGAAAGGGAGGGGCCTTTCCAGATTTGGCTCAAGCTGTCGTCTTAGCAACCATGGAGTTTACTTAAAAGCATGTGGAATTTATTTAATTCACAATGTACAAAGAACTCTACTTGGGATATAACCTTTTGACAAGCACACACTAACAGAAGATCTTCCTAGAATGGGATCAGGACCTTCCGAGTTGGCGGCACCGCGAAGGACAGACATAGGAGGGCATGAAGTGAGTTGCTGGTGGGACATTGCTGCGAAGCCATACGCTTTCCCTGCAGTTATCTGTAAATTTATGTGAAGTGAGATGTTGTTACTTAAAGCTGCTTGGAAATTGTTTATGTAAACCTGTTCTAAGCTTCAAACGACTTCTTTCACTAAGCTTGCATTTGTTTCTTAAAGGTTGTTAATGTAATACATTTCATCAACTCTATAGTGTATGTAACATTTTTACTCCTAATAAAATTTTTATTTTCATATTTTATATTCCTTATAAGCACAATGCCATTTTTGTGTGATGGAAAATAAATTTTTTTTTGTGTTTGCTAGCAAACATGTCACTTCACATCTGAACTAAATCAACAATTGTCTGTCTACATATTTAATGTCTGTTCCAGTAGTGGTGAACCTACAACGTGTGCTTATGCAGGGTTTTTTTTTAATCATCGAAAGCTTTAAAAGGTTTATCACCACCACCCCCACTGTCTGCCGGAGTCCTGTCCCCTCCCTGAAGACTGCTGGGAAGACTTGGCAGCCCTATCCCTGCCCCCATCCTCCGGGGTTTCGCTGAGCCCTGGCTGCCCATTCTTACCCAGAAGACTCCCAGGGAGATCAGGTAGTCTAGACCTGGCCCCTCCCCTTTCTGCTAGAGTCCCTGTGAGTTCAGCTACCCTCCCATGCTCACCTTGCTGGGGAGACCTGGGAGAGGGCCTCAATGTTATGGTTTGTGTGGATTTGTCCCCACAGCGCCTCATGCAGTCAATGGGCACAGTTCTATAGTTTGTGATTAATTCATGATCCAAGGCTGGGATTATGGGTCTGGGTACTTCTGGGATTATTGGTGTGTTACACCCAGCCTTGGGTGGATAGCCTGAATGTCACATGAGGGAGACAGACTTGCTTTGCTGTTACTCCCTTTTGCTCTCTCCTCTTTGTCACCACCATGAAAGGTTGCTCTCTGCCGTGTTCCACTCAGCCTTGGAGCCAGCTGAGTATGGACTGAAACCTTTAGTAACTGTGAGCTAAATAACCTTTCCTTCTTTCATTTTGAGTGTTGGGTATTTGTTCCAGCAACAAGAGAAGAGTAACAGAGACAGAATTTGGTACCAGAGAAGTGGAGTTGTTGGTGTGGCTTAACCTCACCATGTGAATCACAAGCTTTTGGGAATGGCTTCTAGGAAGAGATAGGAAAGGTTTGGAGATGTTGCCTGCAAGTGAAGCACTGGAACAACTTCAACTGTTCTGTATGGGTAATTCTGCTCACAGCTCAGAAGACCAGAAAGCTGATAGAAATCCTGCCTGTAATGAGCAGGCTGGGGAAATTTCTGCTGAAAAGAAGGATTGTATTATTGGTTGGACTCTGGATGATTTGTGTTATGGCTTGGCAGGAAGTTTGTCTGAATTTTGCTTGTGTCCAGAGACTTTGCATGAAACTGAGATTAAGCATGGCATTAATCTGGCAAAAGAAATCTCAAAGCAGCTGAATGTTGAGGCAGTGGCATGGCTACTGTTGGGGGCTTTTAGCCAGATTATATTGACAATGAAGAGCAAAGAGCCCAGAAGGATAATTTAAAATGTGAGTTTGGCCAGAAAGGAAGTTCCAATAGAGTTGTAGACTGCAAAGATAGAGCTGAGAGGATCTCCATTGCCAAGAGGGAACAAGAGAACGATGGCCTGAGGGCATCACTCCACCCTTTTTGGTCTCAGAATTGCAAGGGAGAAGGACTTTGCCTTGAGGGGTAAGCTGAAGAGTGCCATATTTTAGAATAGCCGCAGTGGCCACACCAGTTTCCAAAATGGCACTAGCATGGAGAATTTGTTCCTTGGAATCAGGGTCAGAGTCTCAGTGATCTAGGCATTTGACCCCTACATCTAAGAGAGAAGAAAGCCTGGCTACTGCTCAAGCTGGCAGCAGACCTTGTCATTATCCACATGGCATTGGTCTTAGGCACATGCAGAATGCAGGAGCTCTGAGGTTACGAAGCCTTCCCCCTAGATTTCAGAAGAAGGCCTGGGAGGCCAGGCAGTGTGCCCCTGGGAGGGCAGTGTGTGAAGCTGTGAGTGGGAAGGTTATTCAATAGAAACCTCAGAAGTCTGAAAAAACCAGGAATATGTATCATTTAAGAAAAGTTGCAAGTGAGCAAAGCAGGCCAAAGAGAAAAGGCATAGGGGCTACCACCAAGAGCACCGTAGGGTTGGGACCACATGGAGCTCACAGTTTGTCACAGATTGTTTTGGATGTTGCACATAGAACTACAGGACTTAATGTTCACCCTTCTGGATTTTGGACTTGTGTTGGTCCCAATGCTTGGTATCCTGCTGTGTGTACTTTTTGGAATGGCAATATTTACCTTGTGCCATTGAATGTTGGAAGTTTTTAACTTTGTTTTCATTTATACAGGGGCTCACAGCTAAGATTTTGCCTTAGATCTTGGAGGAGACTTGGGACTTGGACTTTTCAGTAATGCTGAAACTTTTGGGACTTTGGCAACTCTTAGAGATGGACTAAAATGTCTTTTGCGTAAAGGGATTTTCATGAGTCTTTGAGAGTCTAGGGGTGGAATGTTATGGTTTGTGTGTATTTATCCCTCCAAAGCCTCATAAAGTCATTGAGGTACAGTTCTAGTGCTTGTGATTAATCCCTGATTCAAGGTTGGGATTATGGATCTGAGTACTTCTGGGATTATGGGTGTGAGAGCTACACCCAGCCTGGGGTGGGTAGCCTGAATGTAACATAAGGGAGACAGACTTCCTCTCTTGCCATTGTTGCCAGTCTGCCTTGGAACTAGCAGGGTATGGATTGAAACCTCCATTAACTGTGAGCTAAATAAACCTTTCCTTCCTTCATTTAGAGTGTCAGGTATTTTTCTCAGCAATGAGACAAGAATAATGAGACATGCAGGGACCTGAAACCAGATGTCTGGAAGATTGCTACAGGGACCTATAGGAGCTTTGGGGAGGTCTACCCTGCACCAGCCCACCATCGAGAGAGCCTTACAGAACTTTGGTCTACACTCATCATCATCAGATCCTTCTTGAGCTGCAGCTTGCCCCCCTCCCCTCAATGAGGTGGAAGCCATATTGAACCCCACCGTGAGAACTTTGGTGATCCTACCCTACCCTATCCTCCCACTTTCCTGAGAGCCTTATTCAACCCCACCCCACCCCCATATCATCACTGTTCAGTCAGGCAGAACACTGGGGGCCTCAGAAAATGAGAAAAGGATGGGATAAAAGACAATCAGACCTCTAGCCTAGCCAAAACACATCTAGGAGAAAAAGCCATAGAAGAACTTGGAAGTCACACACCTGAAACTTCTGAGATGAAAGCAACTGAAGTAGAAACAACTCCATTAGGCTATGGAGGAAATCAGATTGAAATCTCTCAAGTAAAAAAGGAAATGACAACAATCATGAAAGAATTGCTCAATACATTGAAGGACAAAAGAGATAAAAATATGGAATAGGATAATGATAGAAACACAACAGTTTCTCAATAAAATTCATAAAAATAGATTGATTAGATATTAAAATGTTAATATTTTGGATAAAATATTAAATACATTTCTACTAAAATTAATTTCACCTAATTTTTAACTTTTAACACTAAAAATCTTATAGATGTGTGATATTATTTTTCTGCTGAACATTGATAAACTCAGTTATCTACAATATTTCACAAAGAGCGATGTTTCCCTATTAGTGCTCTATCATAAACTGTATCAAAATATATGGAAAATATCTGTTTATATATCTACTTCTTTTATTATCAAGTATTTAGAGGACAAGGATAATGCTTTCTTTTTATCTCTGATACTGGTACTTAACTCAGCATTTGCTCATTAGAAAGTATTCTATTTGTACATTGCTGCTAAGAATATATTGTAGTGCAGTGGTTTTGAAATTTTAACATGTATCACAAAATTAGCAATGTTCCTT